AGAGGTGTTTTTAATTACCACTTACTTAATAATTGGTAGCATAAACACAAGTTTTTAAGTTGATTACTCCAAAAATTAAGTTATTCCAACTTGTTTTACCACATGATTTAAAAGGAATTTTAAGTTGTATATACTTAATTACCATCATTGTGAACACACGTTTTTAAGTTGACAACCATTTATAAATTAAGTTGCTCCAAATATATTGTATTCAATAGTTTTGTTTCTTAGCTTTTTCATGTTTTTGCCTTTAAAGAAAGAAATGAGTTGATTCCACAACAAAAATATTAGGCAATTCACTTTTTAATTTGAACTGCAGTTGTTTATTTCAACACATGATGTTTCAATCAGGAGAGAATTCATTTTGTTTGAACATTTATTGACACATGCCATATGACAAGGTGCATGAACACCTGAAATCACAGCTGACTGCAGGAGAGAGGAGAACCATTTTATAGTTTGCCTGCAGCACGTTGATTGGCTGCTGGAGAATGAGGTGAATGTAATAGGTTAAAGAGAACGCCTGTGATCAGCTGATTATATATATATATTAACTCACATTTTTATCTTGCAACCATGCATTTAATTAAGTGGAGGTGAAAGGTCGCCTGAATTCGTTTTTAGAGTGCACCTGCAGTCAGCTGCCTCATTCGCCTGTTCAGGTGTATCTAAAGATGAAGAGGCCTTGAACACCTTGAACCACCTTTATTACAATGAATGGGTTGCAATCTTGGATGTAACCAATGACAAAACACACTGAGTTGGTTTTGTTAGCTCTACAGAACAACACAAACTCTTTTTTTCTTAGACAGGACCGTTTTTAGGAGCCTTACAAAACTGTCCAGGTGAATCTTCTCTGTTATCTCACAACACTATCGGGAACATTTTGATATTTTTTGGGACAAACAGGCCTCGGTTAGGGTCAGCGAAAGAGCGTGGTTGGGGTTAAAGTGACAACTCCATAAGGTTTGTGGTCAGGGAACGACACAGCAGTGCCTGAAATATATACTATCCGTTTGTAACCACAGCAACAATACTGATTATTATGATTATTATGATTACAATTATTTAGGTTACCTCTCTTTTCCGTTCAGTGCGCTCTGACCTTTCTTGGAATGAGTGGGATGTGTGCCATGCCTTGATTAGTTTAGCTTCCCTTTTATAGTCTGAACTGTAATAAGGTACTTTTAAATTAAATGAAAGTCTATTAATGGTACTCTGTTTGATAATGGAGAGAGGGTTAAAACATCTGTGAGCATGTTCCTGTAGCTTGGGGAGAACAGAGATGGAGACAGAGATTGAAATAGAGAGGAGAATGAGAAGGAAATAAGGTCCAGTGCGTCCTAGAATAGAAAAAGAAAATCCATTTATTCTGAGAGGCCTGTGGGGCTGGAGGTAGCAGGACTCCACTGGCACCACACACACACACGCACACACACACACACACACACACACACACACACACACACACACACACACACACACACACACACACAAAGGAAACTCATCCCACTGGATAAAATGAATTCTTTCCCTCTTTTTTCCTCCTTTACCTTTTTGCCTCAGTCAGCGCAGCCACCATAATTCCAACCTGTGTCTAAATCCCCCCATGTACACACACACCACACACACACACACACACACACACACACACACACACACACACACACACACACACACACACACACACACACACACACACACACACACACACACACTTTCACGGACGGAGTCACTCACCTGGTCACCTGCCTGAGGGGTTGTGATGCTGTTTCACTCTGTGCAGGGGTCTCTGTTGCCTGTCTGCCTGGCCACAGAGAATAGGAGGCCATCAATAATCCTGCAGCTATGAGAGGAGGAGAGGGGGAACCAGCAGAAAGGGGGAGAAAAGGGGTAAATAGAGGGAAGAAAGGAGAAAAGGTTGATGAAATGAGAAACCAGGCTAGGGAGAAGACCGAAGAACAAACAAGATGAGGAGAGAAGAGAGGAGAACGCAATGGAGAGCAAGAGAAGGAACAAGGATGGAAAAAGAGTAAGGAAAGGGAGAGTGGAAACAAAGAGACAAGACAATGATCGTTGAGAAGAGAGCATTATTATTGGTCATGCCAATAAAGCCCCTTTGTATTGTATTGTATTAGATGTGTGGATGGGAGGACAGCAGAGATATCTCTTTAGTCCTGCCTGATACAGATGCTGCTTATTGGCTGGTTAAGGTGTAACATGCTGGTAGTGTCTTTTTCCTCTGAGGATCATTCGTGAAACCTTAATCCTAACTCCAAGTCTAAACCCTCCGGCAGTAGGGGAGAGGACAACGTGTTCTAACTTCCTTCAGTGTCCTTTATGTCAAGGTACAAAACTCCTCACAATGACAGACTTACAAAAGAACACACACACACACACACACACACACACACACACACACACACACACACACACACACACACACACACACACACACACACACACACACACACACAGGAATGAATAAGGAGACAAAAGTGAAACATCGCCCTATCCTTCATTGCGCTCTGTGCTGAGCTGATTCTCCTTCCCCCCCGTTTCACCTCAAATCCATCTGCTCCTCTCACCCAAACTAAATCCTTTTCCTCTTCTTGCTCCATCCTTTTTTTATATTCACCCATCCCTCTGTCCCCGTCAACCTATTTCCTTCTCCTCTAATCCGCCAACCTTCAAACCACCTCAAAACCTTCCTTAAAAGTCCAGAAATACCTTCAGCTCTGCACCCACTGAAAGATCACCTGTCAACACTGATGCCTGACATTCACAGCAGAGAGTCATGTCAGCGGCAATATCTCCCCGTGCCTCATCCCCATGTTTCCAACAACTTTAAAGAGCAATTTCATTTCAAGCGCAAAAAACAGACATTTAGGTAAAGGTGAGAGTTCTTTTTGCATGGATGGGATAAAAAAAGATATTTAAACGAGATGTAATAACGGTTTTGGGAATACATTTTTACCATGATATTGTTGCTTGTACCTCTTGTTCTTAATGAGGTAATCCAATCATGTATTATGGAAAGTTGTTCATACTTTTGGTTCATGGGAAAGCATTGCGTGACTGTATTGTACTGTAACCTTTCTAAGTGTAGGTGCAATGCATCTACATTTACTCATATACCTTACTTAAGTAACATTACAGTAACTACACTACTTTTTTATGACAGCTGCAGAAAAATATTTGTAATTATGTTAATGTATAACCATCTCATGAAGTACAACACATCGACATCGGAACATGCAGAGGTTGGAGAAGTATTCAGATGTTGTACTTGAGTAAACTTATAAATAGCAGAGAGTAGAAGTACTCTGTTACAAGTAAAAGCCCTGCATTCAAAATGTTACTCGAGTAAAAGTAGGAAAGTAGCATCAATATAAACGTAAAGTACCAAAAGTAAAAGTACTTATCATGCAAATTGGACCATTTCAGAATAATATACCTATACTACTGTATATATTTTGATTATCATTATTGATCATTAAAGTGTTATCAAAGCTGGTAAAGGTGCAGCTTTGAATCACTTTATATACTGCAGGCTAGCTTGTGAATTTACTCCAGTTGTAACTAAAGTCTTATTCATGTGTAGTTTATACGTCAGATTATTAATCAAAATCTGCAAAGTACCTAAAGATATTATTGAATGGAGTGAAGTAAAAGTACACGATTCACCTCTGAATTNTGTATTGTGCGTCATGGCAATACTCGCTCCCTTCACTAAAGGATAGGGAGCGCCACTCCTCAGCTAACCTATCACTTCCCTCCATTCACAAGCTGATTAGGCTTGTGAATGGAGGGAAGTGATAGGTTAGCTGAGGAGTGGCGCTCCCTATCCTTTAGTGAAGGGAGCGAGTATTGCCATGACGCACAATACAAAGTGATAGGTCTTCCTGCCTGAACTTGCGCTGAGCTTCATACAAATATGAAGAAGTTAAACTTTAAACATCCATGACTTAAACACTGTATCCAGGATAAAAGCCTGCAAGGTGAATACAGCTGGTAAAAGAAAAAGTGTTTGAATGCGTACATTAACAGGTTTGTGATATCACTGCCCCGTCTAAGACACGAGTGGATCTGACTTTAATTACATTTGTCTCGAGTGCTTCGTCAACTTAATGTGTTGCTTAAAATAATACTTCTGCATACAGTATGTGACACTGAGTGTTGCACGGCCAGATACGGCTCAGCTGACTCAGATAAGGAGATATATGATACATGATGATGTGATATGCCGCGGACTGTACGTAATGTTACTCTGATCCGGTTACTTATGTTGTGGCAGATATCTAAGTAAGCTTTCTTAACGCTAATGTTATAATAGTCAGATTGCTCTGAAGATGGGAGGTGATATTCTATAAATGTTCACGTTCACACAGTCGGTGATTTTTGCCGGCCGTCTTTCCTGCAACGACAGTTTAAACTGTATTTCCTTTCTCCTGTAATATGACTTGATCGCTTTAAACTCCGCACACTGAGCTCTGATTGGTCAGCAGGCGGTGCTTTCACTGAGTTGATCTCTTAGCCTGCAACCAGGTTAGCCGCTCAGCATAAGTTACCATGGAGATCTAGCCCGCTAAAAAGAGAACCAGCGTCATAGGACCGGAAACCCCAAGTTTCCCCTGAAGTTAGCTCGCTAAGCGAAAATCCGGCTTCGTCGTACAGGCCGTTTCTCCTGTCTAGACTAAACATCATGTTTGCATGACTGCTTAAACCCCAGTAACACAGCAGCATGAAATATGAATTCCCTTTTATTTATTCATATATATATGTCCTAAATAATAACTTTGAATGTTAAAAACAATGTGCCACCAGGTCTGATGTGTGACAGCAAAGTGAAATAAAGTCCTGCCTGGTACATTGAAGCTTTGTGTCCCCCAGTGTTATCTCTGGCATGTTGGTCCGCCTACAAAAACGAGGACGTATTTCATCACTGCTTTATGTTGTCTAGCAGTGTTTACGCCAATTCCCATGGTTCAAGTTTTCACTCACATCCTCCTTCTGCCCCTGTCCCTGTGTTATAGGTGGAGGAGATGGTGCAGAATCACATGACCTACTCCCTGCAGGATGTTGGTGGAGACGCCAACTGGCAGCTGGTTGTAGAAGAGGGAGAAATGAAGGTATGAGTCATGACTGTAACCTCATGCACTTAGCCTACTCATTGGATGAAGACTGCATTTAGTTGTAATCTGTGCAATGACAATAAAGTTGAATGAAATGTAATTTAGATCCCGTAGTAGATCATATGAATCCATTACTTTGCTTAATCGTATACTAAATTAATACAATATTGTTTCAAGTAAGTTGAATGACTATTAGGCCGCACGCAACATGTTGAAATGTGTGTTTAATGACATGTTGTCATGTGTGTTCAGGTGTACAGGAGAGAGGTGGAAGAGAACGGGATAGTTCTGGACCCGCTGAAGGCCACACACTCAGTGAAGGGTGTGACTGGACACGAGGTCTGCCACTACTTCTGGGACACGGCCTACCGCAACGACTGGGAGAGTAAGTCCTCTCACTAACAATCTGAACTGCTTTAAAACGTTTCTTACCGTTCTTTACTAAACTGAAACATCCCTACTTTCTCTCCCTCTGCAGCCACCATTGAAAACTTCAACGTTGTGGAGAATCTGTCAGAAAACGCAGCAATTGTTTATCAAACGCACAAGGTAAGGGCTACGATATCTCAAACCAAATGTCAACAGTGGAAAGGAAGATTGTTTTATATGATCTCTTGCATCTGAATAATAAAAATGTGTGTTGCAGCGTGTGTGGCCGGCCTCTCAGAGGGACGTGCTGTACCTGTCCGCCATGAGGAAGATCATGGCCAACAACGAGAACGACCCCGACACCTGGCTGGTCTGCAACTTCTCTGTGGATCACGACGATGCTCAGGTGAGCCGTAAACCAATCAGATACAGTTTAGGATCCTGACTCCATGCAAGGATATTTATTGAAATTATAAATGACAATCATGTTGTTTTAATTCTCTACCTTGTTGTCTCACAGCCCTCCAACAAATGTGTCCGTGCAAAGATCAACATCGGCATGATCTGTCAGACCCTGGTCAGCCCACCAGAGGGAGATAAAGAGATCAGCAGAGACAACATCATGTGCAAAATCACTTACGTCGCCAATGGTGTGTTTTCTATTGTCGAGCAAGTATTTTGGCTTCAGTTGAGGTTAATGATCACCTGATTATAACTCTTGAAAACTTCTTTAAAGTGTCTTCCAAAAAGGCATTTTAAAGTCTGGAATGTACCAGTCTTAAATATCTTCTCCTAGTTCTGTTTTTATTTTGCAACCAACCAGCCGTGTCCGAGTTACTGTATTTTGATAAAACATTTTATATGCGATGTTGACATTGTAAGGGAAAACTGTAAGAAGCCATTTTGACTTATTATCATGATATTATCCTGATAAACCTTGCTCCACTGTTAAACCTCTCTCGTGTGTGTGTGTGTGTGTAGTGAACCCCGGAGGCTGGGCCCCTGCCTCTGTGCTCCGGGCCGTGGCTAAGAGGGAGTACCCCAAATTCCTCAAGCGCTTCACCTCCTACGTCCAGGAGAAGACTGCTGGCAAACCCATCTTATTCTGAGGCGCACAGGTAATACAGCAGCTTACTCATCCACTTTATTTACTCACCTGTCATATCTCAATCTCCGTTTATGCTTACCTTGCAAAATGATATTAAGAAACTTCTTTATCTTTCCAGTGTTGAGACGAAGGACAGAAACGCGTATGAGGCTTTGAGGATCCAGGTTCTTCAGTCTGACTGCTGCTCTGCTGCTACCCAACACATTTTGTAAAGTGGTTTTCTCCCTCAGTTTTTAGCTACGAGTTAGTTCCTATAGGGGGAGGAAGGGTCAAAATGCTGCCCTCTGGTGGCTGCATTCAAACGTCTGCGAGACATTCATATAAAACAATATTCGTGAGGCAACTGAAACCTCGCTGTGATATCATAATTCGTCATTTCATTAAGTAGTCCTGTGATGAATGCACCCAGCAGGGGGCCCCGCCTCCCCATTCAAGTTTTTTATGCAGCGGCTGATGCCATCGTTCATGCTCCTGTAGAAAAAGGATTTGTCGTGTTTCTTACAGATATATTAATATATAAATGTATGTATGTTCTATAAGAAGTTTATAAAGAGGAAACAGACAGATCTTTGCTAATAGAAGGAAATATTTTATTGCAATTTATAGCTCCTATTTTTTGTTGATTTATTTCATAATAAGTCATTCCTCAGCTTTCTTTTGAAGCTGCTAACTATTGCTAGTGAAACATCACTGATTGATTAAGTCCAGAGGGCTGTCATCTTCCCATGAGCCCTATGATATAAGACTTGACCTCTTCGACCCCGTCCCTCTCATGAAAACACCCCCTGGTGGTGCTGACGGAGGGACGAGGCGTCAGGAGTTTGTCATTTATTTAATGTAAAAAAAGTTTAATGTACATTGTTTGCTCGGCTTTATATTTGTTATTGTACAATGATGTAGTGTCATATAGCACCTATTTTGAATGTTTATTAAGTTGTAAATACACAACATTTCTCTGAAGGTCACATCGTTGTTGAGCCCAGATGCCTTGGTGTAAAAGGAGAATCTAGCTTCAGATGGGACAAAGGAAAATCAGTAGTGAAGTGCCTCGTGGCCGAGTTCCCCTTATAATCATCTCCTCAAGGAGTCCATTTAAATGTACTGAATGAAACAGAGCACACTTAATTTGGGTTTCCCACCGAGGGCTAGCTGGATATTTGTACAAGTTGTAGTATTACTTTAGATACATTTCAGATTAAGTTCCGTATCAGCATCGTCTCCTCCACATTTCGGGTGTGTCACAACATTTGCTACTGAAGACATCAACTTAGGTTTTTGTATAATGTGTAAAAATGTAGACAGAGGTGCAAAGTCCAGAGTTCAGTAAGGATCTACGCTTGAGACCTTCCTGGTTAAATAAAAAATATATATACTTGATGGAAATATCATCCCACTTTTAAGAGGAAGCTGGTTTTGGCTTCCTGAGTTATTTGCCATGTAAAACATCGGTAGCTCTACCTGAATATATTTTAGTACTATTTTCCACCAGTGGACAGCACAATGTTTGTTTTTGGGTTAATTCGATGATATTTGTTGCTATTTTTTCCGTCTCTTCTTGAGCATTTGATTTTGGAGCTTCTAGCAGTGATGTGGGTGAGAGCGAGCCGTATGATACTCAGCCTTTGGGCCAAGTGGAATGAAGGAAGGCTAAAGCACTTCACCTTAACACTTCTAAATAAAAAATGAATGTTATTAGGAATATGTTTTTGTAAATAATTTGTTCATACTAATGCTGTGGGATCAACTTACAAATGTACTGTGACAGCGTTGCACTTCTGCCCTGTTGAAAAAGTGAAATAAATAAGTTCATCCTTCATCTCTCATTTTTGGAGTCATTTGTTCATGTAATGAGAAAACAGAGGCATTGAGACTTTAAGTAGAATTTAATGTATGAATATATTGTTTTTTTATGATTGACTCACTACAACTTTTTTTCAACATACGTGTGTGGTCTTTTTTTGTTAGTGGTATAAGTACCTATACCATTTTAGTTTTAGCAGAGACATTAAGAGGAAACTTGATGTAAATCATTTATTAAATAAAAAAAATGAATAGCTTAGAATTGAATATTCTATCTAGAACATGCTACGGCTTCTCCGAGACAAACTGTAAGGCCACGTTTGCACTTGCTTTCCAAAGAGGACAAAACCAGGAGCTGCAGTCAGTGATACCTTTAGCTTCCACACTCAGTATAACCTTCTGTACGTAATAGTGTGCCATTAAATGAGTTAATATGGCTTTAATCTTTGCAGTCATCCTTTTCGCCTTAACACAAAGAAACAATGCCTGTAACATTTTTCCACTTTGACGAAAAACCATGTTGGCTTTTTCCTCTGGAACTAGCAGCCATTTTCATTCCACAGAATACACAGCAGCACCCTGAGTCCGTAAGGGTTGTGCAAAAGAACACTGCTTTAGTAACACATACATTGAGGGGAAAAGATGGCATCATCTCACGCAAACCTTTTGACTAGTGCAAAGACCAAAACATGGTATAGCAGTTTGAAGATCTCACATTCTGCATTTCAAATGAAAAATAAAAGAATCGAGGTGCAAGTTCCGTCATTGTATGAATGAATTTGGCCTTAAGACTCTAAAGAGGCACAGAAAGCGTTCAAAGCCATTCAATAATTCACAATTGTCTTAAAGATCAGTGACAACAACACACACACTTCTGCAATGCTCAGTTGCAGACACATGGCACAAATAAATAACCTCAACATAATACCTGACCTGGAAAAGTTTTTATGCACACAGTGGTGCGACACGCAAAGCAAGCACGCGTTGGCTGTGGGGTTAGCATGTTTCCTGTATCAGGTTCAGTCTTTAGGTCCACTCCTTTCAGAGTCACGTCATTAGGAGACAATTCTCTCCGTTTTCACCGTGAAGCTTCCCTCTGTTGGCTGGAGCGCTCCTTCAATATGACTCTGAAGAGGGACCCTCTGAATTCTTTGTCATGCAGCTTTCTGATGAAGGCGTTTCTGACAGGTTTGTTTTAGATCTGGGAGCAGAGAAATAGGAGGGCTTCAGAAATCATGAAAAAAATGAAGATGGTTACAAACTTTAAAGAAGACTAATGAAGTATCTGACCTGTTGTGGGCCATGTGGCTCTTGACGAGGTGTCCAGCAGCGAGAGCGGCCATCAGAGACAGCTCCCCGGCCAGGACCGTGGCACAGACCACACGGGCTAGCTGACGGGCGTTATCCCCGGGCCGGCTGGAGCTGGTCCCCTGGACACCGAGCATCTACAGATATTTAGGGAAGGTCACAGATCAGACAAATATCAGAGAACTGTTTACCATGGTCATTAGAATCTATGCAAGTATAGCAGGTTTATATCACATTTAATAAAGCTCTAATGATTAATACAACTGTTACTACACTGTATAACCACCCTCTCTCTCTGTAATTACAACCCTAATATCCACAATCATACTAAAAAAAGGGCTTTTTTTCATATAATTTAAACATACTTTACTACGGCTTTTTACGACATACTATACAATGTAGTTTCCAGCATACTATACGATACACCTGTTAAAATGTTATTTTTGGAGATTTTTTTTTACATACTATGCTGTTATTTTTTTCAAATCTTCCGTCATGCCATTTCGTTTTTTTTCGACACTATAATTTCGATTTTCCGACATAACACTAAAACATTTTAGTGTGTCTTTTATTCAGAAATGTTGAACATAGTATACTTTTTCTTGGAGAAAATGTATATTTATTTATATTTCCTGTTAAAGGGAACATTACCTGGAGGCAGGCCTGCTGGGGGGCCAGGTTGGTGCCCCCCCCTACAGTGCCCAGCTCTATGGAGGGCATGGTGCAGCTGATGTACAGGTCCTCCCTCTCCGGGCCGGCCCCCTCCATCTGGGTGATGCAGTTGGAGCTCCCCACGGTCTGAGCCGGGTCCTGGAACCAGCAACGCAAACATTTCACTCGACGCACAGATTCATGCGGTGGGCTACGCTGATGCCCTACACTTATTATTTATTCTTTTTTTTGCAGCCAAATATATTGCAATGTAATAACTTTGGGTTCATTTGAATGATCAGCACTCCTAATTCCTCATATAATGTATTTATTTATATAAGTATCTCTTAATAGGGATGTTTTTCATACTTGATTTCATAAGCAGATCAGATGACTAGTGTCCAATTATAATGTTATATGCGTAATTTAACCATTCTAATATGCTAAAAAAAATGTAATCTTTATTCTGAACCATCAATACTGTTTTACCACATTTTGTGTGAGATGAATCTAAGTAATTAAAACATGTTGGGGGGTCCATTACCTGTCCACAGGCGATGTAGATGGCAGCTACGATGTTGGCAGCATGAGCATTGAAGCCCCCGATGCTGCCCGCCATGGCCGAGCCCACCAAGTTCTTGTTGATGTTCAGCTCCACCAGAGAGGCTGTGCTGGTTTTCAACACCTGCAGACACATGAATGAGCTGTTTTAGTGCCAACTGTATGATTTTTCCAACAGAAAAAAGCAGCACCAATAAGAACATGTTAATAATGAATGAATAAATAAACTGTGATTTGAGTTTATAGTGGAAATCCCACTGTTACACATCAAAAAACAAACAGAAGAGTTTGGTTTTAGTGTTCTTTACCTCCCTGACCACCTTGGCTGGTATGGTGGCGTCACACACAGCAGACTTTCCCCGACCCAGGATCCAGTTAATGGCAGCAGACTTCTTGTCAGTGCAATAGTTGCCACTGATCGACAGCACATCCACATCTGGATACTGCTGCTGGAGTATTTGCAGAGCCTGCTCCGTCCCCTGGGAAAATACACACACACACTTTTATTTGTATTTACATCCCTGGAGATACAAAACAAACAGTGCTCTGTAGTGCTGCTTCTCATTTGCATTGACTGCTGTGGATGGTACCTTTGAGAGCATGTTCATGCCCATGGCGTCTCCGGTCTGAGACTGGAAGCGAATGTATAAGTTTCTCCCTGCTAAGCTCACCTGAAGCTTCTCCAGACGAGCAAACCTATCAAGAGCAAATGTTAACACATGTTCTGTATGTCCTCAAATACAACAACATTTCATGGGTGTGACTTAATGAATTGGAAAACTTTTCTCTCTGTGTTTGCACTGACCTGCTGGTCTGGTCGAACGCCTCTTTGATCAGGGCGAACCCATCCGGGGTCTCCAGCCACACTTTGACCTCTGCGGCGCGGCATGCTGAGGGCAGCCTCACCACAGGAGCCCGGGTCATACTGTCAGCCAGGATGCTGCTGCGGCAACCCCCGCTCAGCTGGACAGGAACATACCATAGAGTCAGCACACACACACACACATACTGTATATACACACAGTCAACAACAGATAGAGCTCGATGTTCCTAACTTACAGAAAGCGCCCTGCATCCTCTGTTAGTGCTGGCCACCAGACAGCCCTCTGTGGTCGCCATGGGAATGTAAAACTTCTTCTCGTCCAAAAGAAGAGGACCAGCCACTCCCACTGGCACCGGCATGTAGCCAATGACGTTCTCACAGCAGGTGCCCATCACCTGCAGGGCAACAACAAGGACTTTACAGAAGCTGCAATATGTACAGAAACATATCGTTAATGAAAACCATCAGAAAAAGAATTAGGTTTATTGCCAAGTAGGTTTATAAATACATTGCTCTGGTGTATAATGGAGCATACATAAACACCGTAGGAGGTATTCAATTTTAAAGAATTTACAATTGAAACATCTTTTTCATTAAACAATGAAAAAGATGTACCGTAATTTTCGGACTATAAGGCGCACCTGAATATAAGCCGCAGCAGCTAAATTGAATGATGTGTACATACAGTATATAAACCGCACTGGACTATAAGCCGCAGGTGTTTTAATGTTTCATTACCATATGTATATATATCATAATTTAAAATGGATCAAAATGAATGTGCTTGTAGTTAATACCAAATAGGTCCAATAAAAAGTGAAAGATTTGCATGTGGCCAATACCTTAGAATAGTCGTAGTCCTTATAAGGCAGAGAAGTCAAAGCAGAGAGAACAGGCAGTTTGGATGAAAGCATTTCCCTCCTGATGGCCACGCCCCTCTCTGGAGTCTCCAGGACAGATTCCAGTTTATAGTTCAGGATGTTTCGAGAGGTCACCAGGTTCATCACCTCTTCATCGCTCAGAAAACGGGCACCCTTCTGGAAAGCAACATGGGCAATGTCGTGACTTGTTATACCTTCAGACAAACACAGAACTGAAGATAGGATTTCCATCAGCTTACCTGTGGATCTGAGAGGATACTCATACATTCCTCCAGCGTCCGGGCCTCTGAATTACAGCTGCTTTGAGGAACACAAGGTGTCGGAGCAGGAGACTCCCCAAAGCATGAAACCCAGGGGCCGTTCTCCACTGGGACCACAGCCGGCTGAGTAGCCTCTGATGTAGAGGAAACACGAGAGAGAGAAAATGAATGCTAAGCAACAATACAGTTACATCAGAGATGTTGTTTTTTCATCTGCAGGTTAAGACAGGATAGCGCTATGAGGGCTCATTATAAGTCTCACCTTTCTCCCTGAACGCTGTGTCAGCGTCTGACACAGCTGGCAAGGCAGGGTTGGTTGCTAAGGTACCGTTCATGGTCGTCTGAGGTTTTGTGCTTGGGTAGTTCCTCCTGCAGCAGTCCTCTGCCACCCTGGGTTTCTGGGTCGGAGGACAGCTGATACTTGGACTCATGAGGGACAGGGAAGACTCTGTCTCTGCTTGCTCAAAGAAAACGTACTTCACAGCCAGGAGCAGGGCGAGGCCGAGAGTTATCACCTGCTCCAGGTCCATAC